CCCCTCGAGTTCTTCACGGGTTCCCTCGAGTTCTTCACGGGTTCCGCCGGGTTCCCTTTCGGTTCCTCGTGGGTTCCCTTTCGGTTCCTCGTGGGTTCCCTTTGGGTTCCTCTTGGGTTTATCCCGGGTTCCTTTTGGGTTTCTCTCGGGTTCCTTTTGGGTTTCTCCCGGGTTCCTTTTGGGTTTCTCCCGGTTTTTTTTTGGGTCCGGATCGCGCTCTCCGTCAGGGCCGTAGGAACTTTTAAGGTAGTAATCGTTAAGATATCCGGCATTTACATACCGCGTCGGAGGATCGCGACGTCGCGCGCGTACTCCTCGCGGAGAGAGGGACAGCCATGTTAACGCGGAACATGGCCGCGCCATAAATCCCACGGAATAAAGAAGGGTGTCCCGGCGTAAATACCGCGAGCCCATTAAAACTTTTCGCGTACTTAGGCCGGAATTTATCTTGGCCTAGCCACGCGCGACGTCCACGACGACGTCGTAACGGCTTTATAACGCCAGCTCGCGTTTGATCCCGGCGTATTTCTTCCGAAATACTCGACTTTTCTCTCGAAACCAACGATCTCTCCGTGCTCGCGGGGGCGAAATATTCTTCGAGCTCGTCGAATATCGTTCGCGAATTCGCTCCGCTGTTCCTTCCACCGGAATTCTTTTACTCTCTGAATTCTCATACCCCATATTTCCGTCTCTCTTCGTCCAACGCGAATTTTCAGTCCACGGTACGGGGCATGGCTTCGAGGTCTCTAACCCCCGCGTTTTTAGACCGCGCCAGCGATAATAGCGTTCTCGTAAATTATCGGTCGAAATTCCTCACCGCGAATTTTCTCTCGCACAGAAACAGAGAGAGAGAAAGAGAAAGAGAGACAGTACTTCGGGACCACGGCTGTATTTCCATGCTATCGCTAGGAGGATCGCGAGAGTCTGCTCCAAGAAGCGAAGACGTCTGACGAATTCCTCGTTCGCGCTTCTGTTGGTAGAATAAATTAGCGAGCACCGGGGCTTCCTAGCGCGGCTGCCGGACGTTAAACGCGGTTCTCGATTTAGAATTCCCGTTTCGGCGCCGGCCAAAAAGGTGCTCGTGGGCGTGCTGCACGAGCGTACCACGCGTGTTCGCGGAATTTCGCGTTTCCTCGACCTCTTTGCGAACACAGATCGATCCCGTTCCTCCGATTCGCCGGTCCTCTCGCGCGATACTCTCGCGTCGAGTTACGCGGAAAAACCTGGCGCCTATCGCGGCGGGGTTACGCGGCGCGTAACGAGCCGCGTGTTTTTCACGCGTCACGGCCGATAATCCTCTCGGCGGGCATTTTGTACTCGAAATCGAGCGGCGCTGCCTTGATCGCGATAACCCGCGATTATCGCGGCGCAGCTCGCGTGGATCTAGCGGCGCGCGTGCTCACGGCCAACCTGCGCGCTAGGATTCTAAATGGCGCGGAGCCTTGGGAATCGCGGCGGCGATCCATCTTCGCGGAGGAATTATCCGTCACCTAGTTTCCTCGCGATATCCCACGATCCGCGACAACGGCGGTGCGCGCGAATAATCGAGCGCGTGAATCCCGATGACTGTGGAAGGTCGGTTTGTCGGTCACGGATCGACACACTGTGCGCGCGTTATGGCGCACGCGGTGCTCGAAAAAGGGACCGGTGTAAAGAGACTCGTAAAAATTGGCAGCCGGAAAAGAGAGGTTCCGTAATCCATTTTTTTTTGGGTCCGGATCGCGCTCTCCGTCAGGGCCGTAGGAACTTTTAAGGTAGTAATCGTTAAGATATCCGGCATTTACATACCGCGTCGGAGGATCGCGACGTCGCGCGCGTACTCCTCGCGGAGAGAGGGACAGCCATGTTAACGCGGAACATGGCCGCGCCATAAATCCCACGGAATAAAGAAGGGTGTCCCGGCGTAAATACCGCGAGCCCATTAAAACTTTTCGCGTACTTAGGCCGGAATTTATCTTGGCCTAGCCACGCGCGACGTCCACGACGACGTCGTAACGGCTTTATAACGCCAGCTCGCGTTTGATCCCGGCGTATTTCTTCCGAAATACTCGACTTTTCTCTCGAAACCAACGATCTCTCCGTGCTCGCGGGGGCGAAATATTCTTCGAGCTCGTCGAATATCGTTCGCGAATTCGCTCCGCTGTTCCTTCCACCGGAATTCTTTTACTCTCTGAATTCTCATACCCCATATTTCCGTCTCTCTTCGTCCAACGCGAATTTTCAGTCCACGGTACGGGGCATGGCTTCGAGGTCTCTAACCCCCGCGTTTTTAGACCGCGCCAGCGATAATAGCGTTCTCGTAAATTATCGGTCGAAATTCCTCACCGCGAATTTTCTCTCGCACAGAAACAGAGAGAGAGAAAGAGAAAGAGAGACAGTACTTCGGGACCACGGCTGTATTTCCATGCTATCGCTAGGAGGATCGCGAGAGTCTGCTCCAAGAAGCGAAGACGTCTGACGAATTCCTCGTTCGCGCTTCTGTTGGTAGAATAAATTAGCGAGCACCGGGGCTTCCTAGCGCGGCTGCCGGACGTTAAACGCGGTTCTCGATTTAGAATTCCCGTTTCGGCGCCGGCCAAAAAGGTGCTCGTGGGCGTGCTGCACGAGCGTACCACGCGTGTTCGCGGAATTTCGCGTTTCCTCGACCTCTTTGCGAACACAGATCGATCCCGTTCCTCCGATTCGCCGGTCCTCTCGCGCGATACTCTCGCGTCGAGTTACGCGGAAAAACCTGGCGCCTATCGCGGCGGGGTTACGCGGCGCGTAACGAGCCGCGTGTTTTTCACGCGTCACGGCCGATAATCCTCTCGGCGGGCATTTTGTACTCGAAATCGAGCGGCGCTGCCTTGATCGCGATAACCCGCGATTATCGCGGCGCAGCTCGCGTGGATCTAGCGGCGCGCGTGCTCACGGCCAACCTGCGCGCTAGGATTCTAAATGGCGCGGAGCCTTGGGAATCGCGGCGGCGATCCATCTTCGCGGAGGAATTATCCGTCACCTAGTTTCCTCGCGATATCCCACGATCCGCGACAACGGCGGTGCGCGCGAATAATCGAGCGCGTGAATCCCGATGACTGTGGAAGGTCGGTTTGTCGGTCACGGATCGACACACTGTGCGCGCGTTATGGCGCACGCGGTGCTCGAAAAAGGGACCGGTGTAAAGAGACTCGTAAAAATTGGCAGCCGGAAAAGAGAGGTTCCGTAATCCCATTGTTTTCCGCGTTTCGCGTGGCCGGGGGCTGGAGGGGCGGGGTGTAGAGAGTGGCAGAAACAATGGAAGCATTAGCCGAGCGTGTTCGCTCGGTCGATGGTCGTGTAGCCTCGGATAAAAAGCGCGCGTGCCTTTAGAAAGACAGCGGAGCGCCGGCGGCAGGTACGCGAAGCCGGCAGCGTTGGCTCATCGAGCGGCAGATACGCGACTCGCTCGCAAACAGCGGCGCGAATCGACGAGTTGGCGGGGGCAGGGTGAGCCGCGGCGAAGAGAGAAAGAGATAGAATGAGAGAGAGGGGGGGGGGGGGGGGGGGACTATTCTTACGCACCAGCCAACCAGCACGCGCCTGTTCACCGACACACGCGCGTCGCCTACCGCTTTCTTCCTCTCTCGCTCTCTCACCCTGCGCTTCCCGCTGCCATGAGCCGAGCGTGTAAGCGTGTGGCTCAGCGACCGACGCGTTCAGGAAAAATACGACGTCCCATAGTCGCTAGATTTTCCTCCGATTTTTCTTCCTCGAACTCCGCCGCTCGTTCGAGATAAGGTTACGTAATGGGGAAGGCTACGTGTCGTTCGAGGTGTTGCGCAGAGATTCTCGTGGACGTCGAAATGGGCCCTGGTAGAGCGTAATCCTTCTGTCTCGTTGGCCAATGGAAGATTCGATTCTTATTATCGATCTCTCGTACCGTGCCCTGTCCGTTTCACCGAACGCGATCTCGTCGACGAGCAGAGTATCTCGCGTTTCTTCCCAAAATGGCAAATACTTCGATTTCCCACTCGTCCACGTCACGTCTTCTCTTGCGAGAGAGCGAATAGTCGACACGGTGCGACGCACACTTTCGACCTCGCCGATTTCATCCCCTTCTCGGAGGGGGTGAGAGTAGCGCGCTGCGCTTTAGCCAGGTTCGAGGTTTCTCATAAATATGATAGCAGAGCTCCTCGAGGATACTATTATCGGACAGGGCCCCTGTGTACACGCGTGTGTCTTTTCTCCTCTCCGTGAGTCCTTTCACGGGAACCGGGCTTTCTCGCGCGACCCACCCTCCGTTGTATTCCCGCTGACCCTCGAAATCTCTGCTTTTCGCCCAGCAAATTGTTTCTTTGATCACGAACGCCCTCTGTACGTGCCCCTTCCCTCTATTCCCTCCCGTTTTCCTTCCGCGGGAAATCGAATTCGACCGACTCCGAAGGTTTCCTCGTCGCGTCTTTCCTCGCGGTCGAGTCGCGATTTTCAACGGAATCTCGCGGTTTCTGCCGTTGAAAACTCGACGAAACCAGTTACTCCGCGGACACGTCAGCTCGCGGGAATATTATCGTCGCAGTCACGCGATCGGTCGCGAGGTCGTGCACGGAACCGTGCACCTGTTACGGGGCCTCGCGACAGCGAAACGACGGTGCGACGATGGTGGGTGGGTGGGCCTTTGGTGGATTTTGCGCGACGCTCGATCGCAGGTGGGCCCACGCGGTCACCTCTCACGTGTCGGCATTAATCGAGCAAACGCGTTGGCTAGATTGGTCGGAAGACGATAGGAGGAAAAGTCAAGGTTTACGTAAGCAGGGGGACTCCGGAACATATTTAGTCGCGGGTTTCGTCCCGAGCAGTCGAATCGTCGTTGGGACTGCTCGAGGTGCGCTGGACGAAGCAAGTTTGACAGATTATAAGCCGTGTCCTGCGAGTATGACGCGACGTACAATTTCTTCAATTTCGTAGGTGAGTGAACCAGAGAGAGGGGTGTTAGGTTGCATAAATATTAATCGATTTGCTTAAAATACCTATTTTATTACTGCGTACAACTCAGTCGTGGTCGTAGTCTTACTAATCGCGTTGGGCCTGTGTAGATAGTTATTCCTTTTTCGGGCATTGGTCCACAGGTACACACTCGTCGTTTGCATTTCTGACCGTGCCCTTTATGCATCTGCAGGCGGCCGTGTAATTACTACATGCCTGAAGAGAGAAAAAGAAATTTTGTCGTTTCACTAGATAGTTTATGCGAATTCCATCGATTCGAGGTAAGATATCACTGGGTACTCACGATTCGGGGGCAAAAGAGGGGATTGGGCTTCGGATCGTCGCAGCTTGGCTCGCACAGACGTCCGCACAGTGACCATATCTGGTTTACTGGGCACTCCGGTGCGTTTTCCGCTGACTGTACAACTGGTGAACCAAATTTGCGTAAAAATGGTTGCGATTACAACAGCGATCCAAGTGATCCAAATCGATCCAAGTACAAAATTCGAAAGCAACGATTTTCTCGCGTAATTAGTAACGGTTCTAACATTTTTTAATTCGCTACGCACTTGGACCGCGAAATTTTTAATACCACGAAACGAAAATCGCGTTATTTGGGTGTACTTCGTAATTATTAGTTAGTCTAGGTTTCAACGTGGAAGTACTTACGAGGTACAGCGGCAATAGCCAGAATGAAACACGTTATCATGTACGGAGACATTATGGTTCCTTTTCTTCGTGTACTCTTCGTTTAGCACCTTGGAAATTTGTTCGCTCTTCTGGTGACGATCCAACGCTGTCTGTCGATATTTATACTCTACTCTTCCCTTAAATGTACTCGCTCGCACGTGTGCGTCCATGGAAGATAACGCGTAGAAGATAATACGGCAATAATTAAATCGACAAAAGTTTATGCACTTGGTTCTTATTTATGGAAGGTGAAGCAAACACTTTACTCGGTAATTAATAAAGCGGAAAAGAATGGGAATTACCTGGTATCTACGTTCCTTACTTTTGCGACGGGCAAATATTTCTCCGCGAAACTCCTTTGTTCCTTATCCATCGCGAAATTAACGATCGTGTCGCGGTATTTACGAGCAACCTGTTTCCCTCCGCGCGTGAAACAGCTGCAAGGCGTTTTCGTATTTAGATATAGTGGTCGAGAGGACCGTTTTGAGTGACGGACGATCGACAGGAAGCGATAGAAACCGAGAACAGGATTTTCCGCTTGCTTCCGACGCGATGCGACAAACGGCGTCATCTGCATTACCGGTCTTCGCGATGATCGCGGACGAGCACGGTGCTGCTGGTGACAAAACTCTTCTCAACTCTCAGATCTCTAGCGAGTAACGCGTCGCGAATACGCGTGTAACCCTTCTGCGAGGGTTTCGGGTACCTATGTCTTGGAAAACGGGATTCGTGATCGCTGGGACACCCGGTGTAATCGATTAGAGGACTCTTCGATACGTCGTCCGCTATATACGGAATATTCTTTTCGACGGGTACCTAGGCTACCTGTCCCGAGATTAACGTTACACCCAACTCGGCTTAACCCTCGTGAAAGTTTCCGCTCGGACAGTGCTCGCCCACGAGAGACCCACGTGGTTCGTAACTTTCACGGAAGCGTCGCGGTCGTCGATCTCCGATTTATAATAATCTTAGGTATCGTTAAGGTTCGGCGCAGGCGCAGTGTCTTTTCAATTTTTTCTTCCAAGTGATCGAAGATATTCGTGTTTACGTAACATACTCGCGGAGTTGGAAATCAAGCACGTTTGTGTGGTTGTTTAATGTATATACGTGACTGCGGATCCTGGCGATCGGGTCGAACAATTTTCAAACGTCTCCCGTACGTGACAGTTTTGGAAAACAGGTTAATCGATGGTAATAAATGCGAGCAAGTCTCGGAAACGAGGACTATCCATGGACACGGATAATTTCGACTCTGAGCGATACGCTGGTGTCATTAAGTTTGGGCCTTGGTAGGCTCTGTTATCTCGTTTATTGCTTTTCATTTTGTGCGATAAATTAGGAAGTAGGAAATGTTGGAATGTTCCGTAATACAGATAAATTCTCAGGTGCTCATAGTTTCCATTCTTTAACCCTTTCGATACGGAGGAGTTGGCCGCGGTTGTACGTTCGTGGTACGAGGAAGTTTTCCACAAGAGCGACTGTATTGTACGACAGCGTCAGCCGCGAAAGCGCGACAGCCTAAACCAATCCTCGGCCGAAAGCCGATTTTGACAGAATCTTATCTCGCGGATCAGACGGAAAAGCAAACAAAACAGGCTTGACGCTTAAAGTTTTAAAATCATATTTATTTCTTCACGGTATATTAATTAAAGTAAATGGCCTGGATATAAATAATTTGTTCCGATGTCACGAAATTAAAATAAATAATAAAACTAATAGTATAACATAATAAATAACAAAACTAATAGTATAATATATTAAATGACAAAATTAATAGTGTAACTTGGTGTGATAGTTCACATTTAGATATACAGTCTGTCCTAAATAAAGGAATGAACGGAATACTGGAAACGTCATTTCACGGATTAACATATATATAATGGAACAATTAGAGCAGCCGGAATTTTAAACAGAGGACAGTAAAGTAATGCGTACTATAGAGAGTAATCATATGCACGTAATCTGCCATAACTGCCGATTTTAGGCGGTGCGGTGATAATAACCAGAGAACGTTTCGTGGACGCCGCTGATGGACGACTGTAGGACTCAGAGAACGTTTCGTGGACGCCGCTGATGGACGACTGTAGGACTCAGAGAAAATTTCGTGGACGCCGCCAATAGGCGACGGTAGGACCCAGAGAATATTTCGTGGACGCTGGCCGATAGGCAACGGTAGGACCCAGAGAGCGTTCCGTGGATGCCGCCAACAGGCGACGTTAGTACCGAAAGGGTTAATCCAGAATTGAGTCTATAATCCTGTAATACTAGCTTTCCGACTCGTTCGATTGTCTAGATCTTGTCAGGTTCCAGGTCCACCGTAAGACCCCGTCCTCGTGAAATAATAATCGCCGGTCAAGTAACGTTGGGTTCCGATATCTCTGGTGTCCTCGATTCGAGTAATCTCCTTAACGAAGACTCGTCGCCCTTCCGCCTGGGCAAAGGGAGGAAGGATCCATCCTCCGCCATGTTGGATCCAATAAACGCGGTTATCAGATACGCTTGTCTATTCTCGGGAGAGATGAAATTCGTGACCAAAGGCGCTCCTAGCGCAAACGAATGATGGTGGAGAAAAATCTGACAGGGAGAGAGAGAGTAGGAGGAGAAACAATCCCATTGCTCGCGCCTGTCTGTGGGGGGTCGAAAAAGGTCCCGGATGGAGGACGAAGGAGTGGCAGGTGCGTCTGTTTCTAGGACGCAGCCTGTTGGAGGGGACCCTTGACTCATTGCACTACGCTGAAACTAGGAAGAAGCCGTGAAGCAACAGAGCCCGGGTGTCGGAACTTGAAACGCGATATCTTACGAGATTACTTGACTCGAGATTAACACCACGTGTTCGACTCGTGATATTCAGGTTTGGTCCGAAATTTCGATTACGAGTCAGATTCGTAATATTTACATCTGACAGGAAATTGAAGGAGTCTGATTCGTGATCTTCGACTTCGGTCTAAAATTTTCATCACGAGTCACACTTGTGATATTCACGTTTGACACAAACTTAAACAACGAGCCAGACTCGTGATATTCAAGTTCGATCTAAAATTTTCATCACGAGTCAGACTCGTGATATTCGCTTTTGGCCCGAAACGTCGACTACGAGTCAGATTCGTGATATTCACGTTTGACAGAAACTTAAACAACGAGCCTCACTCGTGATATTCAAGTTCGGCCAAAAATTTTCATCGCGAGTCAGACTGGTTTAAAATAGCGCAAGGGGGATTAACACGGTATTTCATCGGTCGTAACGCGTCTCGAACCTCGTCAGCGCGCCTTGTCCCGTTCGAAACGATACTGCTGTTTCCACTGGTGAAACTATTCTTACGCACGCTCCTGCTCAGCGACACGTACATTAGTTTTCTTCTCCCTCTCTCTCGTTCTCTATACTACGAGTGTGCATGTGCCCCACGGCTTAGCGACCGACTGCGATAAAGCCGATATCTGAGCGCGCGTCGGCCCGTTATCGGCTCCCTCGCGTAGATCCCGATTCCTCCTCGGATCCCTGCGCGCTCGCGTCCTCGAGTTATCGCTTATCGGACGATTGCCTCGGCCGAGCGCGCCTCGTTGTTGATCCCGACCTCGCCAACGCAGCGTCGTTGCCCGATCGAGGATCGAGCGATCGATCGATCGCCGTGCAACGGGCGCGCCGCCGTCCACTTTCGCTCGGCGTCCAGAGAAAAGACGGCTCGCGGCGCGGAGCCGAGAGCGTATCTCGCGGAGTAAAGTTCACGGTTCAGTGTAACCCAGAAGCGCCGTGATCCGTAAAAAGGTTACGTATTTGTGTCATTGGTATGCGCCTCGCTGCGACCGCGGTGCGGCTCGTGATCTCGCTCTCTGTCTCTACGTGTTCGCGCTCACGCCGACCAGGGTTTTTCCTACGATCGGTGGAGATCTTACCCGAGGAGAAAGAGACAGAGTTGGTCGAGGGAAAAGCCACGGCCCACGCGAATCGCGGTCGCGATTCGTTCGCCGGTGCGCCTCGCAGCGTCGCGTTCGCCGTTACGTCACGTCCTCACGAACTAGCTCGCTCGCGCGCAATAAACTGGCTACGTGGCCGTGTGCGCTTTGTTGTACGTGATGGACCGTGCTTTCCTTCTTCGTCTCTCTTACTCTCCCGTCCCGTGAATCACGAACCCGCTAAGGAGACCCATCGCGACTCGACTCAATGCGACGCGATGCGCGACGACGAAGACGTCTGGACGGTAATCAGCAACGACTCGTCGCGAAAAAGCTCGTTGAGGAGGAGGGAGGTGCTCGGGGCGCGATCGAGATCGCGTAGGAGAGACTCTTATCTCGGTAATCGCGATTATTACGGTCATACAGCGTACTCGGGTTAAACACGCGTCGAAGGGGGTTAAAGACGCGGAGAGTTGCCCGCGCGAGCGTATCCAGAAGCTCGTTAAAATCGGAGGCGGACGGTTGAATCGTCCTGCTTGTTAGCCAAATTGGATAACGAGTCTTTCGCGTAGAATAATTGGCCGATTCGCGGTGGAGCGAGCGAGGCGAGTCTCGCGTGGAAGACGAATCAATTCGACTTGGCCGACGTGTGGCTGCGCGACGAGGAACTGGCGTTGTTGCGCGTGGAAGAACGCCACGGATAGAGAGAGTAATCGAGTTTTTCTTGGGCTAGGTTAGTCCCTATCGTCTGGCATCGGCGCTGTTTACCGTCTCGGCTCTATTCCCGAGCCGTTTCTCGGAGAACGCGAGCCCAGGCGGTTATCTGCGCGCGTGCCTCGCTCGCTCGCGCGTGCTCCGAGCTCGTGCTCTGCGCGCGTGCGAGCCCGCGAGAGGCGATAAGAGACGCGTTGCTTCGCCGGATGTCGTCCGACTGGACGAAATATATTTTCTCGGCCGTGTCACGCATCCGCGACGTGTGTCGCGTCCGCTCGTACCGGAGACGAGCTACGAGCCTCGTGCACGGTTCGAGTGAGATCCACTGGATATTCGCGGCTGGAATTTCACTCCGTTCCAAACCGAGCGTCGTTCCTCCGCATGCTCGGAATAGCAGAGTAGCCTGCGCGTGTCGCGCGCGAGAAACGAGTCGTTAACTCTCCGCTCCGATAGATACAGCCTCTCGATCGCGTCATTGCACGGTTCACGCTTGTTCCCGGTTTTTAATTCGGTTTATATATTTTCCAAGTTTTTCCGAAAGTCATTGAACACTCGTTTGGTTGATTCACGCAAGTCCGCCGCGATTCCGTTGGCAACGACGCAGGCGTCGACGAGCAGCGTCTCTTCGTCTGCTCGCGATAGATGGGCACGAGTAGAATGGGTAAGCAATAATTCGGTCGGTCCGAAAAAGAATTGGCGTGGTTTGTTAATGAGACGACGCGCGTGACGCGTGTTCGTAGTCGTAGCCACGTAACGAACGAGTATGCTCGTGCACGCTCGCGCTTTTCCACGGCGCGCGTGTGGCGGAACCGCGCGGGCGAGAGGGAACGGTGTCGGTAGTGCAGTAAACTCGTGCCGGCGGATAAATATACGGTATTATGTAAGTTGTTTGCCGTGAGCCAGGGAACGAGCTCGCGGGAGCAAGCGAGATGAATCGAGTTGGTTTGAAAGGGACGAAGCGGAGTGGACGCGCGGATCTCCGTAGCCGGCTTCTCGCTGCGGCCGTTGCGTAATAATGGCCGCGTCGGCCAGACACGATTCGATGATTTCTCCGTCGCGACGACCGCGGGGAAATTCGACGATCGACACCGACGCCGCGTTCCGGCCCGATGCATCGTCGTCGTCGTCCTATACTCGCTAGTTTTCCTCTGCGTTTTCTACGTGCAACTTTGTATCGTGGTTGCTCGCGCGCGATAAGATTACGTAATCGAGAAACCGTCGGTGTCGTTCGAGACTCTTTGCTCTTTTCCAATGGCGTTGAGACTATCGTGGGGTGGGGGTCATCTCTGGTTGTCGAAATGGTCCATAGTCGTCAAAATGATCCCTAGTCGTCGAAATGGTGCCTAGTCGTCGAAATGGTGCCTAGTCGTCGAAATGGTCCATAGTCGTCGAAACGATATGATGCCTAATCGTCGAAACGCTGCCTAGTCGTCGAAATGATATGATGCCTAATCGTCGAAACGATGCCTAGTCGTCGAAATGATATGATGCCTAATCGTCGAAACGATGCCTAATCGTCGAAACGATGCCTAGTCGTCGAAATGGTCCATAGTCGTTGAAACGATATGCCTAGTCGTCGAAACGATATGCCTAGTCGTGGAAATATGGTCCCTGGTCGGGTACCACTCTCCCCTAGTTGGACAAAGAACGATTCGATTCTCTCGATCGATCTCTTACCCTGTCCGTTCCATAGTACCGATCTGTCAACGAGGACGCGCGCAGGCCCTAGGACATGTCGCGTTTCTCTCTGAAAGGGCAACAGACGACAGGGTTCCCGTGTTATTCGTTGTTCCTTTCAATCTTTACCCATTGATCCGAGGTGCCGGAAACAGGAATATCGGACCACCAGTTCCTGTCATTTCCCATCGACGAGTCCGACAAAGGGTTAGGCAGGCGCGATTCTCGCCAACCCCGTAGCGTTTGGCTGCTAGTTCCATGGCCAGATATTTTCGGGTCGCAATGACGCGTAACGATTTCGACCAACTGCGACAGCTGTTAATAGCTCGCGATGAATTCGATCTCGAAGCACCAGGGGGTGAACCAGTTGCAACCTCTCCACCCTGCATGCAGGTAGACTTCGCCGACTGGATAGCGTAACGATTTTCGGATGGATCGAAGGGCGTGCGCAGAGTTTCTTCGTGGAAACCGAACGAATCGAAAGAGAAAAGGGGGGGTGGGGCACACACAGGGGGTAGAGAGAGACCGATGGAAAAGCGAGAAACGCCTTTTCCTTCTCCCCTTAGCGGAATCGGGTTCAAAGCAAGAGCCCTGGCGAGGGGGTGGATTTTCTCGTTCGAAGAGCGTGCGACGCGAGCTTTCAGGCAATTTCCCACTCGTCCAGGTCACGTCTTATCGCGCGAGAGAGCGAATACGTCGGCACGCGCGACGCACACTTTCGACCGCGCTGATTTCATCCCCTTCTCGGAGGGGGCGAAGGTAGCGCGTTACGCTGTAGCGCTAGGTTCGAGGTGTCTCATAAATATGATAGGAACGAGAGCTTCCCGAGGCTACTCGACCGGACAGGGCTCCTGTATACGCGTGTGTCTTCTCTCCTCTCCGTGATTCCTTTCACGGGAACCGGGCTTTCTCGCGCGTCCCACTCTCCGTTGTATTCCCGCTGACCCTCGAAATCTCGGCTTTTCGCCGAGCAAATTGTTTCTTTGATCACGAACGCCCTCCGTACTTGCCCCTTTCCTCTGTTCCCTCCCGTTTTCCTTCCGCGGGAAATCGAATTCGACCGACTCCGAAGGTTTCCTCGTCGCGTCTTTCCTCGCGGTCGAGTCGCGATTTTCAACGGAATCTCGCGGTTTCTGCCGTTGGAAACTCGACGAAACTAGTTACTCCGCGGACACGTCAGCTCTCGGGAATATGATCGACGCAGTCACGCGATCGGTCGCGAGATCGTGCACGAAACCGTGCACCTGTTACAGGGACGCGCGGCAGCGAAACGACGGTGCGACGATGGTGGGTGGGTGGGCCTTTGGTGGATTCTGCGCGACGCTCGATCGCAGGTGGGCCCACACGGTCACCTTACGTGTCCGGCATTAATCGAGCAAACGCGTTGGCTAGATTGGTCGGAAGGCGATAGGCGGAAAAGTCAAGGTTGACGCCAAGCAGTGGACTTCGGAACATATTTAGTCGCGGAGACTCGTCTCGAGCAGTCGAACCGAATCGTCTCCTAGGACCGCTCGAGGGTGCTCTGTGCGAAGGAAGTTGACAGATATAAGCCGTGTCCTGTTAGATTTCGTAGGTGAGTGAACGAGAAAAAGGTGTTTCGATAGCCGATTAATTTGCTCAAAGAACGTTCTTTATTGCTAGGTATGCTATAGTTGTAGTCTATGTTTTACTGATTCCCGTTGAACTTGCGTGTGTGGTTATGATGTCTCCTCGCATTCTGACGGAGGACTACATTTATTGTTATCGTCCCTTACCAGTCCAGGGCCGCATGTGCACATGGCTAGGCTTCCGTCACAGTGCTGAGGAGAAAAATGAACGTTAGTCCTTTTATAGGTTATGCAAATTCGGTCTGTTCGAGTTAAGATATCGTCGGGTACTTACAGGGCGACATGTCTCACGGCGATCAAGTTCCCGGCACGTTGGCTCGCATACTCGTCCGCAGATGTCGAACACCTCGTCCTTCCCGCAATCCGGGTCTTCCGCGTTTGTCGGCCCAACTGGTGAACCAAATTTTGCGTAAAAATACGTACGACGAACGAAAACTAGTTTCTACTACATTACGCTAAATCCATTTCTTAATTCGCGACGTACTTGTACCGCGAAATTTTGATACCTTGAAATTTTGATACTTTGCAATTTTGATATCTCGAAATTTGGATACCTCGAAATTTGGATACCGCGAAATTTGGATAACGCGAAATTTTGATACCTCGCAATTTTGATACCTCGCAATTTTGATACCTCGCAATTTGGATACCGCGAAATTTGGATACCGCGAAATTTTGGATACCGCGAAATTTTGGATACCGCGAAATTTTGGATACCGCGAAATTTTGGATACCGCGAAATTTTGGATACCGCGAAATTTTGATAACGCGAAACCCGTGAAATTTGAATCAATTTTGTGATCACCGATACGTCTAGGGTTTGACGTGGAACTACACTCACGAAAGACTACGGCTATAGCCACCATCAGGCACGTTGTTAGGTACGGAGACATGACGGGTTCTTCTTCGTAGACACTCTTCGTTTCAGACCTTTGAAAACTTATCGAGCTTCTGACGAACCGATGATCCGCGTCGATATTTATATTCCTCCGTTTCCCGTAAACGTAATTACTCGCGCGATAATAAAACAATTGGCAAAAATTTGTCCACTTGGTTCCTATTACGGCAAATTTCCGGTAAACGACAATTCGCTTCGCAATTAGCGTAGAGTAAACTACTCGGAATTGCTCCGCAATTGTCGGAATTGTCCACGTTTCGTATTTCTTTTTTTAGCCTTTTTGACAGGCGAATATTCTGGTTCTTCTACTTTTCGTTGTCTTTCAAGCGTCATAGTAGAAGTAACCATCGCCGCCATATTGGCGAGCAACCCGTTTCTCGATGTTTCGAGAAATTGCATGACGTTTCGCCGATGCTCTAGTCAATCAAGAGAACCGTTTTTGACACGTTAAGCGACATCCCAATTTTGCGTGCCGTACCGTCATGCGGGCCCTTCTGGACCGTACGGACCGGCGTGGCCTAAATGGAAAGTCTCTAGCGCAGGTTCGTAGGGACAGGCGTGGCATTTAACGTGCTAATGATGGACCATTGACAGAACGTGATAGCAACTTAGATCGGGATTTTCCGCTTGCTTCCAACGCCATAGAAACTTAGATGCGGATTTTCCGCTTGCTTCCAACGCCATAGAGACTTGGATCGGGATTTTCCGCTTGCTTCCAACGCCATAGAGACTTGGATCGGGATTTTCCGCTTGCTTCCAACGCCATAGAGACTTGGATCGGGATTTTCCGCTTGCTTCCAACGCCATAGAAACTTAGACTAGGATTTTCTGTTCCCTTCTAACGCGATGCATACCAGCTCCGTGTCAACTGCCAGGCCGATCTTCTCGATCACGACGATCGCGGACAAGCACGCGCTGCTACTGACAAAACTCTTCTCGATCCTTCCTAGCCCTCGCACGAATAACGTATCGCGAATACGCGTGTAACCCTTCGACAGAATTTCGGGTACCAATATCTTCGCAAATGGGATTCGTGATCACTGGTACACCGGTGTAATCAAGCAGAGGACTCTTCCATACGTCGTCCACTATATACGGAATATTCTTCCCAACGGGTTCCTAGGCTACCTGTCTCGAAATTAACATTACCGTTAGACTTCCTTGATTTAATAAATCACGCGTAGTGGTATTACTTTTATAATTCTTTATTACAAAGCACGTGTTAGCGGTACAACGGTTCTCTGGTCTCCGCGGTTACGTTAGAGGGTCAGACAAAAACGAAAACCGTCCACTAGATGTCATACCTATGTCTAGATACACAAATTTCCAACACACAGATAGCGATTTGCAGTTACCATCTTAACACTTACAGCATATCCAACTTGGCTTAACCCTCGTGAAAGTTTCTGCTCGGACAGTGCGCGCCCACGAGCGAGCCACGTGGTTCGTAACTTTCACGGAAGCGCCGCGGTCGTCGATCTGCGATTTATAATAATCTTAGAAGAAACCTCGGTACTGTCTAATAAATTAGCAGGTATTCGCAATTTCCTTTTTTCGAATCGAAGATCGAGTCGATAAGTCCGCATGCTAGTTTCCCGACTCGTTGGCAGTTCCTGGATCTTGCCACGTCCCGGGTCGGTCACAGAGGACCCGGTGCTCGTGAAATAATAATGGTTGGTCGAGTAACGTTGGGTCCCCGAATCGAGTAATCCTCTTAACGAGGATTCGCCCTTCTGGCGCGAAAGGAAGGACGCCTCCGCCACGTTGGATCCAATAAGCGCGGCTATCGAATACGCTTGTCTATTTTCCGGAGAGATGAAATTCGTGACCAGAAGCGCTCCCAGCGCAAACGAGAGATGGTACAGAAAAATCTGAGAGCGAGAGAGGGAGAGAGTGTATGACTGGAAACAATCCCATTGCTCGCGCCTGTTCGTAGGGGGTCGAAAGAGGTCCCGGATGGTGGACGAAGGAGTGGCAGGTGCGTCTGTTTCCAAGATGCTGCCAGTTAGGGGACCCTTAATGCCGTATTTCATCGGTCATAATGCGCCTGGGCCATCGTTCCGCTTTGTCCCGCTTCAGACGAAGCTGGTGCGCGCGATATCGACGCTCGTATCTCTCTCGTCGTCTCTCTGTTCTCCCGCATCATTGTCCCGGAAAAGCTTTTTACGCGTACGAGCGTGGCAGCTGAGATTGGCAGCGACGCGTGTGTTCCATTCGCTTCGTCTTCAATCTCGGCATCTCGACGACGCGTCTCTGTTCTCGTTACCAGGGAATTGGAATTTTTCAGGGTACGTTCAGTCCGTTCCACACGCGTCTCGCCGGATATGGGTTAGCAACGCGGAGAAAGTTTGGCAGGAAGTAGCTCTCGGAGCGATCGAAATCGCACGCCGGGTGCGGCCAGTCGATCGCCAGGGTCTATTCGATTAATAGGAAAGTTTGTCCGGTGGAATTGAAACTGGTTCGCCTTCGGAAAGAAGGTCGACGGAAGATGGCGGAAAGGAGGAAAGAGTACGATTCCGTCGCGTTCTCGCCCGACGTCGTCTAGACCCTGCGGGACAATGCGCGTTGCTATTTCGGTAAAACGCGACTGATTATTCCAGATACGCGCGCGACCGAATAATGCTCGCCTGGAACAAAGCGACGTGACACCGATGCCGCTGCAATGGCTGGCTCATTATTAACGCCCAGCCAAGTATTGTCCCAGCTCTCCCTTTGACGTTCTTTCCGTCTCGGTTCTCTTCTCTCGTTTTCTCGCGTTTCCCAGGAACCACCGTGGAAAGTCGTTCGAGACTCTTCGCGATAATTCGCGAAAACGCGTGTATCGATGGTGACTCGGATTTTTGCTGACCTTCGAACGGGTGTGTTCCGATGAAAGCGGCAATTCGTTGAATAGACTGGCATTATCTTATCGTGATTTAATAACCGGTTTTGCTTCTTTGTCGCGATTTATCTCGAGAAAGACAGTGTTACGATTTAACCTTAACGCTACATTTACCGTTGCCGAATTAACGACCGTTTGTTAACTCTTGTTTAAGGCTTTGTGATACTCGTTATTATTCGCTTTCTTCGTCTCCTTCGTCTTCTTCGTTGTCATTATTCCGTTACCTCGGAGGCCCTCATGTAACTCGTTTCGTTCGCCAAGATTAGTTACAAAATTTATGAGAAATTATTTAAGAGTCTAATATTCCTCTTCCAGTGTACAAAGTTATGACTCACCGCGTGAAGTATATCTATTTAGTTTCGGTAGAAATAGCGAACTGCCTACTGCGTTTAAACGCGATGATGGTGGAGTACCCAGAGGGGTTGCTGCATAGAATACTCGGGGTGACCGTGAGGAATTTGAAAGACGCGGAAGGCATCGTATTTTTGGTCAAGGTTCCTCCCTGAGTTTTAGGGGACGCGTCAGTATTCTTGGTTAGAAAATTACGTAACCGCAGTAGCGGTACAGTGCCATTGGGAGCAGATGCGGCGGGTACGCGCAGGCCATTAGACGTCGCAGAAAGGAACCCTTATCCCCGTTTCACAGGGTCATTTCAGAGCTCGAAGGTATGCAAATTGTAGAATAGAGGAAAGAGGGCACGTTCGATTCCGAACGTCTGTGTTGTCCGAGACCCTCGAGCTGTTCGCTTTTTTGCCTCCCTTGCTTAAAGGTAATTCGAGTCGAGCTTTCCTGCTGGGACCTGGGAAACTGGTCTCTCCCGTGGTGTCCCCTCTCTCGCCCTTCTCTCCACTCGTTCTCGTAGCTGCTCGCGAAATTGGAAAAACGTCGCTGCGCCTCGTTCGGAGCAAGATCGAAGCTTAGCTAATGTTTGTACCACCCTGTGTGGCGCGAAGGACGGCAAACGAGAGGGTTTCGCGCGTTTCCCTATACCCTGTTAATCTTGAGATCGATGTTGTACGAATTCCGAACGTGTCACTTAGTCGTCACACAATCGTCACCTAGGCGTCACACAGTCGTCACCTAGTCGTTACGTAGTCGTCACACAATTGCCACCTAGTCGTCACCTAGTCGTCACCTAGTCGTCACCTAGTCGTCACTTAGTCGTCACCTAGTCGTCACCTAGTCGTCACCTAGTCGTCACACAATCGTCACTTAGTCGTCACACAATCGTCACTTAGTCGTCACACAATCGTCACTTAGTCGTCACTTAGTCGTCACTTAGTCGTCACACAGTCGTCACTTAGTCGTCACACAATCGTCACTTAGTCGTCACACAATCGTCACTTAGTCGTCACACAATCGTCACTTAGTCGTTATATAATCGTCACTTAGTCGTCATATAATCGTGACACAATCGTCACACGTTTCAATGGTCACACAATTGTGATACAGTCGTCATATAATCGTGACACAATCGTCACATAGTCGCGACACAGACGTCACATAATCGTGACATAGTCGCGACACAGACGTCACATAATCGTGACATAGTCGCGACAACTGGAAAACGAAAGAGCGCTCTCTTTTGGAATTGCAGATCGAGTTCCCGTACACCGTGTGCTGTGTCACGCTATTGCATTAAATCGCGAACGAGCAGTTGAACTGTGCCAGATCTTGGGCACACTCGTACTCGCAGTGAGGTCGCAAGGGTTGTAGGTTGTGATCGGCAACTAGCCAGCCTATTGGCTGATCTCATGGACGTGTTTCGCCTTTTTCGATAGGCGCGTACAGGCCGTTGCTGCACTCGGAAAAATTGGGAAAGACCGTTTTAATCGAGTTGCTCGTCGACCGGTGGAAAAATCGCTTTCCATTTGCAAAGTTATTCGCGCAAAGTTGGGACGTTTGTTTCTGCCGAGCAATTTGATTTCGGTTTTTCACCGTGTTTCCTCCCGCGGCGGTTTTACAACGCGGCCAGGCGGAGCGAATCGATCGACGTTCGTTGCAGGCTCGCGTGGCCCGAATTCCGCAAAACGGCGAAGAAAAATACCCCCTGCGTGGCGGGAGGGAAACGTGTTTTCCCAGCTTGCGCGTCCTCTGCTCTCCCTCCGTTATTTCCCTCCGATTCCCCGAGTTATCGACGACGAGATGCGGTCGCGTTAGAAAACTCGTACGAATTTAATGTACCATAA